TAAGCAGGGGATTCTGTGGAAGCTCTGGTTGACCTCTGGAAACTGGAAATAACCAGGACCATTGATATGAATGCTCCTACGCACCTCCTCCTATTAAACAGAATCAAACTGGACACTACTATTTTGTGCATGAGGGATCCTGAAATTGTTACAGATTACAAGTTGAAGATGAGCCAACAGTGCAATGTGGCTGCAAAACAGGCAAATACAATTTTAGGATGCATTAACAGAAGTATAGTCTTCAAATCCCATGAGGCACTAGATCCCCTCTATTCATCATGGTTATGTCTCCTCTAGAGTATTGTGTCCAGCCCTGGACTCCACACTTTAAGAAGAATGCCAACAAACTGGAGTAAATTCAAAGGAGGGCAACAAGAATAATCAGAGGACTAGAAACCCTATGAGGAAAGACTGAAAAAACTGGGCATGTTTAGCCTTGAGAAAAGAAGAAGGAGGTGATTTTCAAATACTTGGTAGTCATACTGAGGAGGAATCTGTTCTCAATCACCCCAGAGTGCAGGACATGTAAAGATGGACTCAACTTACAGGAAGCCAGATATAGACTGAATATCAGGAAAAACCTCTCAACTGTTAGAGCAGTACAACAATGGAACTAAATACCTTGGGAGGTGGTGAGTACTCCAACACTGGAAGCATTCAACAAAAAAATTGGGCTACCATCTGTCAGATCTGTTTTGTCTTGGATTCCTGCATTGAGTTGGGGAATTAAATACAATGGCCTTATACACCCCTTCCAACTCAATTATTCTATGATTCTATATTTTGTATGCTTATGTTAGAGCTTCAGATAGAAGTAGTCTGTGAATACATAGTACTTAATTGTGCCCTTTCCTCCATAGGTCCTCCAAGGTATCAGCTTCCATTTTCCAATCCTCCTTCCATTTTACCTTACACAGAAGAATGTTAAGAGATGCTTCCCCTTCCCCCTGGTGAATGTAGGCCACTGGCAATGAGCAGCACTATCTGACTACTTTTATCATGAGTATCAATCATAATGAGATTATTAGTTCAATTATAATGAGCCTCTAAGAGTCTAAGAGCTATGATCAATCTCTGTGGACTGGTTTTGTTCAGTTTCCTCCCACCTGTATTTTCTTTCTGATTTCTTTCATATCAGATTTTGACCCTGTGGCTTAAATCAAAGGAACCTTTGACCTTTGCAAATTCTATAAGCAACTCCTGGACTGCTGCTGTTGCAAAGGCCTTGGGTGCACAAATTGTAGCATTTTGTTGTTGTTATAATTGTTCATGTTGTCTGTTATATAAAGGCAAATAAGAAGATACTCATTTTGTGAAATTGTATCAGACAAAATCGAGAGAAAGGAAACAAGACAAAACATGTGGTACCTTAAAGACTAACTATTATATTTTACTATTATATTTTACTGCAAGCCTTCATGGATACATCCACCTCATCAGACATATGGAAACAGAATGAAATGTTGAATGAAATACCAGTGATCGCAATATCAACAACCTCTGATATGCAGATACCACTCTGATGGCAATCGAATCTAAATTTTGCAGCCAGAGAAGTCTGTAACTCGAAAAGTCTGTAAGTCGAGCCATCTGTAAGTCAAGGGTCCACTGTACGAAACAGCTCAAGGCCAGTTGTTGGCCCATGTAAATGGACAAATTCCTGTTAGTTACACCTGCAGGCATAATGAATATGGTGTAACTTTTGGAGGCAAATTGCTTCAGGAAAGCAACATAGACATTATTTGTTCCATACCTGGTTGTGCAATTTGGGATTTGCAAATTGAGATAGAAACCAAAGACTATCATTTATACTCTTAGTGTTAGCACTAATGTGCCACCTCTTGTATATCTGACATATCCATAAACTAGGCTCAAAGTTGTTCAAACACAATGCAGGAATTCATCAGAAGAACAATTTAGAATCACATCAATAAAAAAACTTTAAGTTCTAAGTGCCCAGTTGCCAATTTTTAAAAAATATTTAAAAATATCTCAATATACATGGAGCATTCCCACGAATTAATGAGGAATTTATCTCTCAAATAGATCTATACATTTAGTACTTTTTTTAAAAAAAACTAATATAGAAAAAAATATAAGCTCTGTAAAGTCTTAAAAATGGAATCTCAAAATTTTAGTCATTTTCCCAACTCTACAGAAAATGGTAGGAAACTAATTGCAGCCATGCTAGTAACCAAACTTTGCTAGGAAATGGTAGGAAACTAATTGCTGCCATGCTAGTAATCAGACTTTGCTAGATTACTATGTGTAGATCTTGCACATGTGTGCTACAAGACAATAAAATAGCTTACAATGGATAGTTGATCTCACAACGCAGCTATTTTGGCAAGGATAACCTTTAATTCATACCTCATAGAAAGTATTACTGAAGCAGTTATCATTGGTAGTGAAGCTTCTACTTTTAAGATGCCATGCCCTCCTTGGCATGGTATATGCCACCAGCTTCCATGGAATGCAACATAATTACCATACGATTGAAATAACACTGCAGGCACAATTCAAATGATTACGAACTACAATACCTCACATACCTTGAGTCTGCTATTTGAAGGACCATATTGTCCAACAGACCAGCCTGCACTCCAGGATCTTCAAGAAGCCTTTGAGAGAATTTCTGAGTGGCTGCTTCCAGGCTCAAGAACTCACAAGGAGAGTTGGGCTGGCCCCCTACCTGTTTTCTTTTGTTATCATGTCCCCCCCCCAACCTTTTCATTCACACCTGATAGTAAGACAGAAGCAATATAGGAATCCTATTCTATATCTATCTAACAGAATACTGTAGATCATGACAGCTCTCCCCTATGACACACCAGTCAGTGGATGAGGAAGTGTATGATAAAAGTATAACAATATCTGCTGCTAACATGGTGGACTGGATGTGGCCCTTGGCTAGCAGAATGGCTTGTTTATTGGAAGTGGTGCATGTTCTCGTGTGTATGTATGCATTCATTTGGTGCGCTCTACAAAAGATGAGAGCCTGAGGTGGTACAAATACCTTTCCAAGATCACTAAAAAGTAACAAATTAGACAAGCTCCACATTCTCCAGAACTCTTCATGAGGCAATGATATAAAACTTGCGGTAAAAGCAAACAGTTGAAAAATTGGGAAGATGCAGTGCCCATGTAATATCCAGTGTGGTATAGACCGAGTAACACAGTGATGAACTAGGTACAGCGATGGGGAACCAATGGCAAGCATGCCACAGCTGGCACGCAGAGCCCTCTCTGTGGGCACGCGAGCTATGTTACTGGATCGCTACCCCCAGCAGTCAAACCAGTGGAGGTGGCTGCAGCTGCAGTGCTAGCACCCTGACAGGCAGCAGGCTCACATCTGGAGCAGCTGGTGCTGGCAGCAGCAGGCCAGCTGAGCTCTAGGCAGTAGTGGGGTTGGGCACGACTGGAGGCAGATCTGGAGTGGGCTCTGGATTTTGGAGGCACCTCCATGCCTGGGACTCCCCCTTCTGCACCCACATCTGCTTTCGCTGCTCCTACTTCCACCGCCAGCTGCTGCCTGCTGGGTTGTTTTTTCAGTTTGGGCACTCAGGCTGAAAAAGGCTTGCCATCACCAGACTAGGACCTGCTTCAAATCCCCACATCACCATGGAAGCTCACTGGAGGTGTGAAGCTGCTAAAACTACTTTGTAAATATCTCACTTTGAAAGCCTGCTAGGATCACTATATAAGTCACTTCCAACTTGACATAGTAACAAATGCCGGTGTATCCTGAAACCAGACTGGCAATAAAGGAAAAAGGATTTCAGATTCCATATGAGATGGAAGTATCAAAGGTTTTAATTGGCAGTTTCTGCCTACTCTGCAGATAAAACGCTACGAATGGTCGCTAGGATCTACAACCAAGCTATATGATGTTTGGAAAATGTAATTTTAGAAGTCTTAGATTCTCCTTTGTTGCTATGACCGGAGCACGTAGCCATGATTTGTATTTGCTACAAAAGACAGAGGAAGCATTAAAAAACCTATAAACAAGCCCACCCTAGATTACATCGCATTGGCTCAAACGTTAACAATAAACGCAAACTCCTGTTGGAAATCAGGCTGCAGACCTAGTTCAACCGGACGTAAAATACAAGCGCAAATTCATCGAGCTCAAAGTCCACTCTTCAACACCCGAATTTACAAATGACTGCATGCAAACGATGTGGTGTTTGTTTTTAAAATCTCGTTAAATTTATTAACAGCAGCTAGATTGATTATTGCCAGGCAATGGAAATTAAAAACTGAATGGCAAATTGAAGAATGGTACAAAGAAATATGGAGGAAGAGGAAGAAGAAGAAGTCCCTTACATGATGGTGGGGAACACAGTTATTGTATTTGAGTTTATATGTTTTATGCGTATGTTTCTGCTTTTGTTATAGTTATAGAAAATTAAAAAAATATTTTAAAAATGCCGTTTTAATATTAAAGACAATAAATAGACAAACCGTCCCTCTTAACCAAACTCTCGGCATGTAGCTTGTTCCCATGGATACATGCTCAGCACTACTGCCATGCATGCAGGACTCTAGAAGGAAAACCCTCCTGGACTCGACTGGGGGTGGAAGGAATCCTAAAAGCGAAAGCCCGCAGAACCGCAGCTTTCGGGAGACCAGGGCAATCCTGCCCCTTTCTGCTCCAACGGGACCGCGTCTCCTGAAGCAGAACGAGGCACTTCGGAACCACGCGGGCTGCAGCCGGGCTTTTCTGCAGCCACCCACCCGGCAAGCTCGCCTCCGCCCTTCCACGCAGCCACTTCCGTTCACAAATGGAAACCGGACAGGCCTTCATTTGCCACCAGCGCGGGGGCCCGAGGTCACCCATACGTCACTTCCGGGAGGGGAGAGGCCCGCCTTCTTCCGGGACCCGTTTCTCTCTTTTATTTTGGCCTTTCCAAGATGGCCACGTCTCTGGGGTCGAACACGTACAATCGGCAGAACTGGGAGGACGCGGTGAGAACCTAGGGAGTGGGTGGGTAGGTGGGTCCCCGTTCCCCCCCCCGGGAGAGAAGGGCGGCTCCCGTGTCTTTCGGGGCCCCGCGGAGGAGGCGCCTTGCGGGAGCCTCGCCTTCGGGGTGGTTGCTCTGCCATGAACGGCGGAGGGAATCCCCTGGACCGGCGTGGGAGAGGCTGGCAGCCGGGAGAGAGGTCGTCAGAACTGTTCGGGTCGCTTGTACAGCGGGCCCTTGGAGGGGTTACAGCGGCGGGGACTTGGTGGAGCCAAAGCAGCCCTTCTTCTGTTCCTCGCGTGCTTCGCCCTCCACGCTGATCCGAATTTCCTGAAAAAAAAATTAAGAGTGCTCGTGTTTAAAAAAGCAACAACACCCGAAACAGACCCAAACGCTCTACTTTGGCCCTAAAATTCCTCTTAGGGGGGGAATCTCGTTTAGCAAAGCTAGGGAATGCTGCGAAGAATACGGTGCACATCATCAGCCCGCCTCCCTTTTTGACGCCTTTGCCAAGCTGCTGTTTGGAGGTGGTTGTGTGTTGATGCTGCGATCTTTTCTGAAAAGCTAATTATGAGCTGCAAATGAAAAGATATGGGGCATCTTTTATATTTCCGTCCATTTGCTAGCTTCAGAATTCAGAAGACAGGGATGGGAAAAAGTGGATTTGCGCTTCTGTAGGTGGCCTTGGGTTTTGTGGCTCCTATACTGTACATCTCTTTACTATTAATGTTAAAGGTGTTAGTTAGTGTTTTAAGCGTCCCACCCTAAGGTGGCCTGTAATTCAAAGCTCTATGATTTTGCTAATACAAGTAACAAAATCACTTCCTGCTTAGTCTACGTATATTTGCAAACTTTGGTTTTTCACAGTTATGCTTCTTTTGGTATGTGGTTGGCATTTTGTGTGCCTGGTGAGCAAATAGTTTAAACTAAACTCTAATTGGTATTTAAGAATTCCTTTTCGGTTGATCAGGAACACAAATTGCCATGATGTGAATGACTGTCCATGATATTCTAATTTGAAACAAAATGGAAAAATAATTATTGAGGATTTAGTGAAATGTATCTTTCTCTCGGACCTGAAATCAATTTATTTCTCTTGTGTAGGATTTTCCCATTTTGTGCCAGACATGTCTTGGAGAAAATCCCTATATTCGAATGGTATGTATTTTTTTGTGATCTAGTACTAAAGCAAGCATGATGAAATAAAAATTCAGAGGTATATTTAGTTTCAAGTACCATTTTCTTAAAACTTAGGGTTTGCTTCTGAGAATATACACTTTAGATTTAAGTATTAATATACACACACACACGTGCGAGCTGTGCATTCCAATTTTATTGTTAGGATGTTATGTAAATTATTCCACTGTGACTATTTGCTAATCAGTTGCTGCTTGTGAGTATATAGCTTGAAGTAACTGTATTGAAGTCAGTGGGTTTGCAAGTATACCTTCTGCTACTCTTGATCTATATTTTCATGCACTCAGTAAAATTATATTTTTGTTGAAGTTTATCCTTCACACATTTACATGAGCGGACTACACACATGCACACTGTTACATGAGTGGACTTTGCCTGTGAATTTTAAGGATGAAATAATTCTGTGCTCACCTTCCATATGTGCATACAAGGCTACATCTTTCATTGCAGTGAATGAAGGGACTGTAACAATCAGTCATGTATTCGTTACATCCTCTGCAAGAGACTGAGGAGACAACTGTTTTGTTCAAGTGAATAGATTGTCCTTTGTTACAGAACTGTGGTTTTTAGCCTTTTCAAAAAGACATGCTTAAGTTTTTCCTTATAGTACGATCACTTTCTCCTTGGTGGTGTTAGGAGATGGGTGTTATTTCTCTCCATGTTCCTTAGAACAATCTGAACAGATGGGAGACATATTGTGGAAGATTGGTGGGAGGTAATGAAGGAACCTTGCCAATCTATTCACTTGAACAAAACAGTTGTCTCCTCAGTCTCTTGCAGAGGATGTAACGAATACGAACCTTGATTTTAAAAGGCATGTATAATTTTGGAAATGGATTGGTCTATAACATGTGTTTCCTTTATTCTAGACCAAAGAGAAATATGGAAAAGAATGCAAGGTATGTTTGTCATTTAAAAGAGATAGCTTGGAGTAGCACAATATTCAAGGCTTGAAATATCACTTATCCACTTGTCTGTGACGAGTGAAAAATGCTGCTGGATGAGTCACAGCTCCCTCCCACCCTGCCTCCTTCCCCTCTGCCTCTCTTTCTCTCTCTCTCTCTCCTCTTGCAGTCCTCCCCTCCCCCCTCCCATTGCAAAAGGAAAACTGCCCTCTTTTGAGAAGAGAGATTGAGTGGCACATAGAGATATAGCTCTGCAGGAGAATGTAGAGTAGACCCATGCTGGAGAATATGGAGATTCCCTGCTCCCAATTTCAACAGAATGAGGTGTGGTGGGGGGAGCTATGGCTCCTTAAGAGGCTGGGTGCTTTTGCTTTCAGTTTTATTTTTCTGGAGACGTTCAAAAGAAAGGATTTCAAAATACAAGCTTCATGACCCCACAGGCATGCAGGTAATAAAGCAACCCAAATCAGTAGTTCCCAATCCCAATAAATTGTAAGGCATCCAGTCATGCTAACTGGTGAAATTTCTGACTTACTGGTGAGACATTCTAAAAATTTTCAAGCCCTGACAATTTTAAAGGGTCAAAGTAGAAGGGAAATAGCTTTCAGTAATTGAGTATCACAGACCTGAAGTGTGAGCATTGAATCTTACTGATATGGTTTGGTTCACTTTAATGGAAGTTAATGGTATGTGTGCATAATAATGCTTCTAGCCCAAGTGGCTAAAGTCTCAATTGTATAAATAAAATGTTACAGTAAGTTTGCTGGCTGATAGCTCAGTGGTTTAGTATCTGGTTGTGGTGCCAGAGGTTGGGCGTTTGATTCCCCACTGTTCCTCCAGGGAGAAGAGCCAACCTTTGTGGTCTTGGGCAAATTGCACAGACCCAGGGCGCTCCTGGAAGAAGGAAATGGTGAACCATTTCTAAGTACTCTCTACCTGCAAAATCCTGAAAAGGGTCACTGTAAGTCGGAATTGACTTGACAGCACGTTGTGCCTATCCTGAAAATAAGCCCTAGTATGATTTTTCAGGATGCTCATTATATAAGCCCTACCCCAAAAATGAGCCTAAGTAAAGTGAAACCCCACCCTCCCCCATGGTGCAGGAACCAGAAGATGATCTCATGACTGTATTTGAATCAATGTAGATGGTTGTACATGAAAAAAATAGAACATCCCCTGAAAAGAAGCCCGAATGGGGTTTTTTGGAGCCAAAATTAATATAGACCCTGTCTTATATTTGGGGAAACATGGTAGTTCAGTTTGGGAAGTGAAATGCTATCTCAAGTATTTTGTTCTCTGGTTTTAGTATAGGTAGCAAATTGCTTAGACTGGGTCTTGCCCATCTCTCCAGTTGAGTAACAGGAAAACAACGGCTATATCATTGCCTGAAAGGGGCTAAATACATTGCAAGACTGTCCTTTTTTCTTTCTCTTTTTTCCAGTACAGTGTATTGTTCTGAATGTACATAGTGATGTTGACAAGAAATGAAGAAGTGCTCAGATGTGTGTGTGTAATTCAGGCGTGACTTCTATACTTTGATTAGTTTGGTACATATTAATGCAATCTTTATCTCAGATTTGTGCCAGGCCGTTCACAGTGTTTCGGTGGTGCCCGGGTGTACGGATGCGCTTTAAAAAGACAGAAGTGTGTCAGACGTGCAGCAAACTGAAGAATGTTTGTCAAACCTGCCTTCTTGACCTAGAATATGGTGTGTAACTATGATTCTGTTCTAACTGGCCAAACACAAAATTAACACATTTGTCAGCCCTAAACAGCAATAGTGATGGATGTGCAGAACATAATTTTTAGATATTGGGAACTCCTAGTTCCCAATATCTAAAGGAAGGAGGCCTCCACCTTCAGTCATAATTTTTAGATATTGGGAACTCCTAGTCTACATGTGGATGAGCGTGTATTCACTACTACAAGGAAGGAGGCCTCCACCTTCAGCACTCAACATGAAAACTGGCTCAGATGTGTCAGTTTGGGGAAAACAAACTGGAATTCCATTTCTAAAAACATACTTGTCAACAGCACTTACTGATAGCAGTGAAAGGGAGTGGTTACCCATAATATGTGCAGGCTATGCACTACTGCTTTGAATGTGTCTGCACTGCACCCTCTGTCAGGGATCCAAAGGGCTGTGTTTGACACATCTTGAAGGCATCACATTTTTCCTTCTCCTGGAGCAGTACTTTATGAAGTCCAAGGAGCAGCTGCCAACACTCTATGTGTCTGCATACTCTTTTGGGATTCCAGTCATCATTTAGCTTTTCTCCTTCATTTACCAGTCTAATCCCAAAAATAGTACATGAAAGTAAATGGTTTGAGGGAGGCTTAGGTAGGTAGGTAGACAGGCATATGGGCTTGAATCCAATTGCTATTACCAGCCAGAATAAATCCATTGAATCAGTGAAGTTCAGGTCAGTTAGTAATAGTATTAAGTTTCATTAATTCACTAATTCAGACTAAACAATGGATTTAGTGGATGGCTCAGGTAGACTAGTACATGAAAGTAAATGGTTTGAGGGAGACTAAACTGGATTTAGTGCATGGTTCATGTAGAAACAGATCAGTGCAATATCCAGAGTTTGCTAAAAGTCACATTGGTACTATAAACTGCATTGATACTAAGTCTTGAATCAGTGAAGTTCAGGTCAGTTAGTAATAGTATTAAGTTTCATTAATTCACTAATTCAGACTAAACAATGGATTTAGTGGATGGCTCAGGTAGACACAGATCAGTGCAATATCCAGAGTTTGCTAAAAGTCACATTGATACTATAAACTGCATTGATACTATAAAGTCACAATGATAACTGAGTCATTCAGTTATCAATGAAGAATTGGAAGGAATCTCCATGGAGTGTGCAGTGTGTTTTGCAAAGCATCCTTCTCCACCCTTCTATACTATCCAGATGTTTAGAAGCACAACTCGGTCAGCTCTGATCATTTTGCCTTCGTGGCTGAGCCTGGCGATAATTGTACATAGTGTGAAAGAGCAAAAGGGCACTAGATTGTATTGAACTGCTATAGAGATTATGTAGAAGGCCAGTATGAAATGAGAAAACTGCCGAGTTTGATCTTCACATTTACTTAGAGTTGTAATTTTTTTACCAAGTTTGGTTCAAAGATTCATTTACTTAAATATAGCTGAAAATTGGGCTTAATTGTTTTGTGTTTGCTTAAAATAGTTACATTTATAGTAACAACGTGTTGTCACTTTGCTTTTGTATTAATTTATGCTTTTCTGTTAATGATTAGGTTTGCCTATCCAGGTTCGAGATGCTGGACTCTCGCTTAAAGATGATATGCCAAAATCTGATGTTAATAAGGAATATTACACCCAAAATATGGAAAGAGAGGTGAAGAAATGTTGCTTGTTTAATTTCCAGTGTACACACAAATTGGAAATCATCTATATTTCTTGTGCATATTTGAATTTCCTTGTGCTTTTCTAGATCATGAATTCTGATGGCACCCGACCTGTTGGTGCTCTAGGAAAGGCAACATCCACCAGTGACATGTTACTCAAACTAGCTCGGACCACCCCATACTACAAACGTAACCGGCCACATATCTGTTCATTCTGGGTGAAAGGAGAATGCAAAAGAGGAGAAGAGTGTCCCTACAGGTAAAAATCTTGCTGAGAAAATTAACCGTTCAGGTTTAGTTGCTAGGAAGCAGGTAGTGTTCAGGAAATATGAAAGTAGTGCACCTCTGTTGACAAAAAGCAGAAAACACCTGTGTAAAAACAGTGAAAGAATTATAATAAATGTTTACCCAATACATTGTGCAAGAGAGATTGCCAGGGTTGGACCAGTGGCACATTTTTATTACCTGTATTTGCGCAATCGATAACATAACTATATAATGACTTAAGTTTTGTGTTTTCCTGTTAAATTATCAAGATTTGTCCTTAGTTTAGAAGATTGGTGAAGGCAGATGAAATACATATTTTCTCTATATAATGACTTAAGTTTTGTGTTTTCCCGTTAAATTATCAGGATTTGTCCTTAGTTTTTAGAAGATTGGGGAAGGCAGATGAAATACATATTATTTTCCCAACAAACACAGTATTTCTTTTGCATCCTTAGGCATGAGAAACCTACAGACCCAGATGATCCTCTGGCTGATCAGAACATTAAAGATCGTTACTATGGTATTAATGATCCAGTGGCTGACAAACTTCTCAAACGAGCTTCCACAATGCCACGTCTTGACCCACCTGATGACAAGACAATTACAACATTGTACGTTGGTGGCCTGGGTGACACTATCACTGAGACGGACCTTAGGTATGTCTGCAACTCTACTTCAGATGTAATGCTTTGTCAGTAATGGATGTATTTCTTTGGGTATGCTTTTACTAAGAAGCTCTCTTGAAATGAGTCCTGACATATACTGAAAATAAATTAATGCCAGTAGTATGCAGTTTGTTCTCCTTTAATAACCTTCATTGTTCATATTTTGTTGTGGAAGAGTCAGTGCTTTTCAGTAGTTTTCTCATTGTCCTTTTTTTTTTTTTAAATTTGAGGCCATGTCTGGATGGGCGTAAGAGATATTTTGTTCCACAAAGTAACAAACTGGCATATTCCTGACTATGAGTTAATCTACTCACAGATCTTTTTTTCTCGTGTTTGTGTTTCTGACTTTTTCTTTTTGCCTTGCGTACTATACTGTATTGTGAAAAAGACTGTCAATCTTTGCTTCTCAGGAATCACTTCTACCAGTTTGGTGAGATTCGGACAATAACTGTGGTGCAGAGGCAACAGTGTGCGTTTATCCAGTTTGCTACACGGCAAGCTGCAGAAGTGGCAGCAGAGAAGTCCTTCAACAAGTTGATTGTTAACGGGCGGAGGTTGAATGTAAAATGGGGCAGGTGAGTGTCAAGGAAAAGAACCGAAGGCAGTGCAGATTCCCCTTGACACAAATTCTAGTGTTGTTTCCCCTCAACTGAGCTTCCCGTGGGTTGTACTTCCACTTAAAGCCTGTCTTAAAACTATGAAGGTATTACAAAAACCGCCTGTTTCCTTTCTGCCAGACTCAAGGAGTGAGATGGCGGATACAAAGTGTCTCTAGAAAATCAGTTTATAAGTTGGTGTTTGTAAACTATGCTTTCTACACAAAGACTATTTTTATCAGTCTGTGGTAACACGAATTAACCTTGAAATCAAGTATTTAATCTTACGACTTGAGCATTGTTCTATTTTTCCTTGGGTTTTAGGTCTCAAGCAGCCAGAGGGAAAGAGAAAGAAAGAGAAGGGATCACAGAATCGGGTATAAAGCTGGAGCCAGTCCCTGGACTACCAGGAGGTAAGAAAAATATCCCTAACGGAATAAATCACAAAACAAAAGACAAACAAAAAACAAAAACAATTTTGAAATAAGTATATCTAGAAATTAGATTATTTAGTGGTTAGAAAAGGAAACATTCACTGGGAGGAAGTCTGTGAAATAACCTAATTAGAATTTAGTGAAGAGGAAAGCTTGTACTTAAGGGTTGAGTTGTTAGCATTAATTGCATCATAATAATCTCTGTAGCACAGGTGAATAGGGTGGCCATCCAGGTCTTTCAGTCCTCTTCACATGAAAAAGATTTTGACAAGAAGAGGCTTTTTAAAAAAGGAAGAAGTGGCTGGTTGATTATTTCTTGTATCTTTTTTTAAAGCCCTTTGTGGGAGGCAAGATCAGGTAGAGTGAATTTACATTTCAAGAACAATTAATATCTCTCTGAGCTTCTTGTGTACATTTTGCTGATTTGTGGCTAAACTGAATGGCTTGACATGCAAAGGGAAGGGCAGTAATGGGCCAGAGGTTGCCCACCCCTACTCCAATGCAATGGTTCCCAACTTTGGGTAACTCAGGTGTCCTTGGACTGCATTATCCTGAAGCCTTCACTCACCAGCTGTGCTGGCCAAGATTTCTGGGAGTTGCAGTCCAAGAACACCCAAGTTACCCAAGATTGGGAACTACTAGTCTAATGCATTTGATTTAGATTCAGATACGTCTGCTTTGGAAAGAACGTCTCTTCTGAATACTAGTAATGGTAAAGATACTGTTCAGAAACAGATTGCAGCAATGTGCTATGAACCTGGATTGTCTTCTTCTGCATCTTGCTTACTGAAAAAACAAATGTATATTGTGAATGTTGTGTCTTGCAGCTCTTCCTCCTCCTCCTGCGGCAGAAGAAGAGGCAGCTTCGGCAAACTACTTCAATCTACCTCCCAGTGGTCCTCCAGCTGTAGTAAACATTGCCCTGCCGCCACCGCCTGGCATTGCTCCCCCACCACCTCCAGGTAATATTTTTGTTCCTTCCAGAGAAACAAAAATGAGACTTTCTTGTTCTCAGATTCTGCGTGTCTGCTTTGTATTGCTTCATTAGTCTCTCTCTCTCTCTCTAGGGTCTTGTAAACATTTCACAGGGATTCTTGTAAGAAAGTTCCTAATTTGGTTTTGTAGTTTATAAGCCACTTTGCATCTGTAATACTCCAGCTGTTTTATTGTGTAGCTGTTGTTTTGTATTGATTTAGCTGTGTGTACAGCAGGAAGAAGAGAAAGTCTTGAGGAAGGTGGAAAGGGACTGTAGGTGAAAACTCTTTTTCCTTTGGGAGATTTAAAACCTAATCCTGTTCCTAGTTACTAGGAAGGAAGGCCCATTCAGTTCATGGGACTTAACTAAACAAGTACACATAAGATGGCTGACTTACGTCCCGCTCCTTCTTTCCTCCATCCTATTTTTCCCCGTCTCTTTTTCTCTTTTCTTCTCCACACAGAGCTAGAATCTGAATTGAGGACTTTCACAAATGGGCTTCACAGTGTCATGGGTTGCCCATCCATGGTTTATACAGGAAATGTACTTAAAAATGGTGAATGTGAAAGGAAAAATAAATTGTTGAAAGCAACTACTTTAAAGGAAACAATGTTAAGAAAATGCTCTTGTCTCAGAGATCACCCAGAGTTCGCTTTGGATCGACTGTGGAAATCAGTGGCTGTCCTTTTCTTTTTATTCTGTAGGTTTTGGACCACACATGTTCCATGCGATGGGTCATCCACCACCATTCATGAGAGCCCCGGGTCCCATCCACTATCCTTCTCAAGATCCTCAGAGGATGGGTGCCCATGCAGGAAAGCACAACAGCCCCTAACCCCACCAGCTCTCCGTTATCTTTTAAGTTGCTCTCTTGTTTGTTTGTTTTTTAAGAAGGAACGTTTCTTTGGTAGCATACCACATTCAGGTGTAATGAGTGGAAAACAAAATATTGCTGTGTAGGCAGCACAGGCTTAGTCCTACTCTGATACACAACTAGAAAATCTGATTACTTTTTAACCAAAATTACTTCTGCGTAAGGGAAGGGTGATGTCTGCTTAAACAAAAGCAGAAAAGTGAGCTAGAATATTTTGATTTAGAACTACCAATCTCATCATTTTTTAAGAAAAAGCAAGCACATTGTATTTTAAAATACATTTCCTTTTTATCCCCCCCCCCCTCCACTGTATTTCCAATCTCATCCGTGGATCTGATTTGGGACTCTTTGAAATATAGTGTCTTGGGGAAAAATTAACTAAGGAAGTTTGTAATCCCCAGCCACTTCAACAGTGGGAACTAGCAAACTTTGTTGTTCACTCTGACCTAATCCATTTAAACATCAGATTATGATATTGCCATGAAACCAGACCTAGATTTTACCTTGTATTATACTGAGATGGAAAGATGGTGTGTGACATTGCATTCATGCTGTTTCTCACAATTCAAGATCTTGTCTGCAATACATGCTACCAAACTGTTGGGGGCAGCAGTGGCCGTGCATGCTTTTTTTATCCTCTGTTAAAGAGGTTGGTGATTCTTGAGTTGTGGCGTATGCGGCCTTCGTGTTCATTTGCTACTAAAACTAGTCTGGTTTATTTTGTAATTTAACATTTGTTACCAATGGCTGTTCTAAATATATCTTCTCAGTATTTGCCCTGTACCATCTGTTTTCTGCATAGAGTCTGTAATGTGTCCTAGTAAAGAGAACCATATTTTTTACCATTTCCAAGTTTTATTCTGTTCTTGTTTTTGAAAACAAGCATTGCATTTAACAGAATTTTCATAGTGGTTCCCTGATGTTGCTTCCCGTGGCAGCTGTTGACTAAAATAATGAAAAGCAGAAGTGAGTGATAGAACACCAACCAAAATGTTTGTGGAAATGCCTAATTCATAGTGTAAAACTCAACATGTCATGAGCTTTTTCAGGTGCCTTTGCTAAAGTAGTTAAAAGGCTTTCAAAACTGTTAAATGAGTTAGACCACTGGTTCTTAACCTTGGGTTACTCAGGAGTTTTGGACTGCAACTCCCAGAAGCCTTCACCACCAGCTGTCCTGACTGGGGTTTCTGGGAGTTGCAGTTCAAAAGCATCCGAGTAACAAAGGTTAAGAACCACTGAGTTAGACAAATGTCTCAACTCCAGAGAAATGGGTACAGAAAGTGAATTATCTTGAAAGCTACCGTGTTTCCCTAAAAACAAGACAGGGTCTTATATTAATTTTTGCTCCAAAAATGCATTAGGGCTTATTTTCAGGGGATGTTTTATATTTTTTTTCATGTACACAACAATCTACATTTATTCAAATACAGTCATGTCATCATCTTCTGGTTGCTGCACAATGGTGGAGGTGCAGGGTTTCATTTAACTGGGGCTTATTTTGGGGGTAGGGATTACCGTATATTATGAGCATCCTGGAAAAAGAATACTAGGGCTTATTTTAAGGTTAGGACTTATTTTCAAGGAAACAGGGTATTACTACACAAAAGCTTCTATATCATTATTGAAACATTTAAACCTCACTCTAACTCTGTGCCTCATCTTTAACTACCATAAGCCAGGGGATTTGTAGCCTCTTAGGATGAAGGCCAAGCTAGTTACATTTAAGTCACTCATGTCTCCTGGAACCTGCACTGAAGAACAATACAATAAGCACACATCACCTTTGCCTGATCAAAACACAAGTTGCAAGACTTACTCTGTTGCAACAGAAAGTCACGTGACACACACACACACACAGTTTATTGGGGCACTAATTGTCCTGAAAGCATTTTTTGTGCCAAATCTGTTAGTATGCTACAAACATCACATGTGCAACTGTGAGGAAAGTCAGTTTTACAGCATTAGCTTTATCTTGGCAAATAACTTCCTGCCTTTTCTTTTGTAATATTTATTTTTTTAAGAAAAAGCAAGCACAATGTATTTTAAAATACATTTCCTTTTTATCCCCCCCCCATTGTATTTCCAAATGTAAACCTGACTTTCAGTTGGTAAGTCTGAAACTGGATGGTTTTGCACTCAAAAGAATTTTGTAGCACATAATATACTAGAATGACTGCATAATTAATTGCCCATTTGTTGTCTACGGGATGGAATGGAAAGTCTGCTCTTGAATGTTTTGGGTTGAGTGCTCTCTTGATGGGAATTGACTCTTGAATATGCTTTTATGGAGTCCCTTTGATAACCATCTGTTACAGTGATTGCCGTCTTTTAGTCATAAAGTTCTAAGTCAGAAACTGTAGCTTAAGCACATAAATACTGATAAATTAAATGATCCTGAAATCTACCGTCTGTTTTTTTCTAGACAGAATAAAGCCAAAAAATAAATGACACAAATTATCAGTCAGTGAAAATAGATGTTTCAATGAGATTTGATCTTATTTCTGGTGTGTATTCTTCCAGCTTCTGGGAAATGTGCAGTTTTTGTTGATCTGCTTGAGGTCATATCTACATGTACATATGGGCTGACATCCTGTTGCTTAGGATACTAAGTCTAGGCTCATTTAATCAATGGAGATTTGCTGAGTTAATCCCATACATTCTATCGATTCAGTGGGCCTAATTCTGGTTGCATCTTCCTACGCTAAGCAACAGGATTTCAGGGACAAAGTACACGCCAGGACGCTTTGGTCAGACAAATGGTCCACTCTCGATCATTCTGGGGCTTGCAGAGGAACTGTTCCAGTCACATGATGATTACATGGAAAGTCATCTTCCTCTGTTATTTCTAGTTTTTGAGCAAGTTGCAATCCTAGAGCATGTGAACATGAGAGTGAGTCCCAAGTGGAGACTCTTGCTGCCTGGCTTCACCTCTTTCTGCGCCTGAATCCATTTCCCAGTAACTTTCAGTCCTAAAGTTTTAATTTCGGGGGGTGGGGGGGTGGAATCAATTTTACAGTAATGGGTTCCCCAGTTTCTTTACATATCCTACATGTTATCTAACAAATGTTTAATAGCGAGGGTTGACCCTCCTGGTACAGTTCACCAGTTTCTTTAGCACCATAGAGATGTGTTAAGATTCCACACCAAAACAGGTGTTACTGCCTCCCATCTTTAATTGTATGCCGTGGGCCTGAAAAACAGGACTTATCTGTCTCAGTTCAAAAGCTGGACCTTCAGTTGGGTCTAGAATGCCAAAGTGACATTTCTGAAAGCAGATTGCAGGACAAGAGATAATAGAGTTGTAAGATGGCTTTCATTTCTTTTTTGTAGATAATAAAATAAAAAAGGTTTCTTCACTAGTAGCTTGTATAGCATGTTACTATGACATACCTCTAAGAAGATTCTGGGCAAATCTTAACATAAACTAGATGTCCAAGCTTCATTTGTTTTTTCTTTCCAGTAAAAACTTGCAATAGCTTTATGCTTCTCAAATGGTTTCCCGACATGGCAAGCTGCATCCTCTTTAGTTAAATCATTCAACCTGACATTTTGGCTTTGTGCCCTTTTGGTCTTGATAGCTAGTCTCACTTCACTGGAAGGACCTTTAAAATGACTTATCATTAAGAAGTGGGTGGTGTGATGTAGTGTTACTGTCAAATATAGTACAACAGAAGACCTGGAAAGAAGTTTTTGGGGTTGGTTTACGTAATGACGAAGCAGCAAGCAGAATCTACTAATACTATTTCCACCTAGGCAAAAGTGATCCATTTTAGGCTAAAGAGGCTCCATTCTTGCAATTATATATTAGTAAACATAGATATTAGCTACTTGTTGACTTTAAAAAGAGAGAGGTGACAAAAGCTACAAATCCTCTGACTCTGGCATAACCTGTATCCAGCCCAGAGGTGTTCTATTAAAACTGGGTCTGTTTGACATAAGCTCCAGGCTGTTCATGGCATCTGCATGATCGTCGCCCATCTCAAATCTAGGGAACGCGTCGTTCAGCACTGGTCCTCCAAATGGCGTCGGAGTCCTGCAAGTAAAAGAAAAAGATGTGCTGTAACTGTTTGCAAATTAGCTTATTGAAACCCATGTGGGGAAGTGATGGTGTTTGATCATGTAGCACAACTTGGACTGGCCAGTCTGGTGGCTTGTTATGAGGGGTGGGTGACAAACAGAGACTGCTACCCATGCTCTGATGATGTGGTGAATGTCAGGTTATTGCAGACAGGATCCACTGACCACTTAGGCGTTTAACCGGGAGTGGATGCTTGCCAGGTGGGTCCGTGTGCTTCCAGGGTGAACAAAACATGTAGGTTGTTGCTTCCGAGTGCAAACCAACCTCACAAGGTAGAAACACAAAATGTTCAAAAACATCTTCAAGTGTAAGACATTGTCTTTAGTATCATCAACCCCTTAAGTGGTCTGTATGAAAATGCAGCTGTAAAATTGTATTACTGTAAGAATTTCAAAAGCATGTACAGATTTATAGCCAAACCTAATGATTCAAAAAGAATAATGATAATGTGAAGCCAGTTCCATGATAAGGATAAAACAAAACTTTATTCAGAGATTTAGACAATTAAAGAGTTATTCCTACAGAAAACAAGCTATCTAAACTAAATCTTTACTTACAAAGCAATATAGTTCTAGTGCTCAAGCGGAGTTCAGCATCATAGCAGGCTTGGATTATATGTTAAAGCAAGTGAAGCTGCTCCAAAGCTGCTGCTTGGAGCTGCTTAGCTAAACCCTTCTTCTGGCTGGCCTTATATCCCATCATCCTGTCATGAGATGGTGCAATCTTTGGCAAGTGAAGCTGCTCCAAAGCTGCTGCTTAGCTAAACCCTTCTGGCTGGTCTTATACCCCATCATCCTGTCATGAGATGGTGCAAACTTTACCACCAATCAGATGGCATCCTTCCTGGAGCTAACTAATTGGTAACTTCTGCACAAGTAACCATAAGATCACCAAGTGTGCCTACTTAGCATACCATGGAAACTCAAGCAGTTTCAGGTTCTTTTAAAAAAATACTCTCCAGTTTCAAAGCCAAAATATAAAATTCCTCACACCTTTAAATGGCTCCTAACTGCATGGGCATTCTTTCCCTCCTCTAAATCAGCACCATATTTCTGCAGCTTTGAGGGAATGATTCACCTCTTCCTTGCTTGTTTTTTCGCAGAGGGTTCGCTTTTAAAAGGTTTGGATGTACAGTTACATTTCAGGAGTTCATGCTTGCATCTATAGTGCTTCTTGTTGATAGAATTCAGGCACGCTGCCTTAAGGCCCACTCCCTACCACCTTGGCTCCACAAGACCAGTTCCTGGCATCCAGGAATTATTCTCCATTCTCCAGACTTCTCTGAGGAAAGGCTGCACCACTGCCAGATTTGCCAATGAAGTGGGAAGAGGCCACATTTTGACTTAAGAATAAGTCCATCAATAAAATAGCTTCTAAGTATAACTCATTTCAAACTTAGTTGTGATTTTCCCACAAAAACTCTCTTGGCCCTATGGCTCATTCCAAGTTTAAGGGGTGCATTGGATTAGCACCCTCTGGTGCACCTTCTCCAATGTCAATTTTAGCCTTTATGAGGTGCCTGGCATTTGTGGCAGGCAACCATTCTAATTTCCCTCAATGGCTCATAATGTAGCATGTTTCCTGAGCATAGTGGAAGAGCATAGTGCCAACAAGATTCTACCCTGCCCTGAAAAACTATTGTTTTTCCTTGGTTCTCTAATGTTCTTGGTCTTTTTAAAATGCAATTTATAATTGTAATTTTTTTAAAAAAATATTCAGCTCTCAGTCATATTGCCTGTCTTGAAATCACTGAGATATTAAAATGTAAAGGTGGCAAGCCTAAAATTAAATTGGTGCCCCTGGGTGTAAATTTAAAGCTTTAAATAGGGCAGTGACTGAGGAAGGAAGAAATCGGACATCTATGTATCTTCATTTATAAAGTATCTTCATGTATAAAGTATTTCTGCTACAAGACCAGAAATAAAAAATAAAATTTGACGAGCAAGAGAAACTGGAAGAGTACGCCTCTAGAATAGTATGCCAGTTCAACATGTGTCAAAGTTATCAAGGCTCAGGACTATTCTGTCTCAAAAAGGAAGTGTTACAAGATGCTAAACTGAAATATATGATCCTAAAGTTCTGCAAGTTATAAAACAGTTGTTGATAAAAGCAAAAATTAACATTTGCCAATTCTCACCAAAACCCATTCACTCATCAACTGGATTTATAAGACTGAAAAGGAGCTCTTTAGGGCAAATGTTTTGAGATTTTAAAAAAAATGTCTCCATATGCAGAATTTTGGCTTCACCACATCTCTTGAAATCAAACTGACCATATGAACAAATTTTAGACTGTATTTCTTGCAAATTATGAAAGCTTGTTTATATTCTGGTTTTTACTACTTTGCAGGATCCATTGAATTACTATTGTCAAGGTCTGTATACATTTATTGTAATAAAGAGAATAAATAAAATTGTGTCTTATGAAATCAACCCTTTATTTGTGCTCAGTACATACTTTCCCACCATATACAATATGTTTTCTTTCTCTGCTTCGTTATTGCTTGCCTTTAGTTGCCTGAAGAGTGATATTAATAATGTATCAAATATGAAAAACACACAAGGGATGTGGAGCCCTGTGGCAGGGAAGGGCTTGGTATTTTCCTAAGCACCATTCAAGAGCAGAATAGTGAATGAATGGTAAAACCTATCATGTGGGGGGAAAGCTAAGCAAGAGGTACAAAAAGAGAGGATGGTGTTATATATATTCTCATGTGCCTACACATCATAAGTCCAGTGTTGGGCATTTGTGTATTATAGAGAGCAAAACTCACATTTACTTTAGCCAAAAGACTGTATGTGATCTGTATTTTTCACTGTCATCTTAAGGTTTCTGGTAGTGTTTCATTCTGGCTGTTGGTGTGCACTTCCATACTCAGAGAAGACCCATTGAAATGAGTAGCTTCAGATATCAATGTGCAAGGAACAGCTTGTTCCATTGCCTTAGTTTACATGCTTTACTTATATACAAGGCAGGAATTTAGAGACAGAATGGTCTCGGGTGCTGCTTAAGTCTTCAGTCTTTGTCCACTTCTTTGGCTTTCCTAAAGCCCCAATTGACTAAAATGTACATATTTTTTACAACTGTTTCTCTGCTGCTTTCCATTACCATAATCCACAAGAGACAGATGGCTAATTCAAAGACATGCTAAGCATTTCATGGACAAAGTCTGTAGGTAAATAGAAAGAGCCATTACCTGTTAAAGCTCCTAACATCAAAAGTGCTGACTTTCCTGGGAGGTTCAGGCAAGCGGTTCTCACTGTCCACCTTATAATCTTCGCTGCTAAGGAACTCCTGCCAAGGAGACTGGTAACCTTTGGGAATGGCTGTCCTGTTGAACTTCTCATGAGGCACTTCCTTTAGAGGTCCATTATAACCTGGCATTGGAAATGTCAAATTAAAGGCAGACATCTTGATTAGCATGGTAGCACGATCTGAGGTATCTGCCAGTTTCTGCATCAGTTGCTGGGGAAGAGCAAAGAATAGTTCCACGTTTGGGGAAACCTTTCCCAGCAATATTTTGTCACACCATTGGTGAGGTCCTCCTTTCCTCCCTCAGTCCTTTCACTCTTCCGTACAGCCACTAAGCAAACGGCCAGTGCAGTAAGCATGCAAAGGGACAGCTTCTTCCTCCCTCAATCTTTTGAGCACCGCTTCCTGGCATATGGTGCCCAGAATGGGCCCAAGCCTAACGAGAAAACAAGCATTGGAGGTTGTTCCATGAAGTATTTCTACCATTCATCCCTTCCCCTCATTAATGAATGGGTGGCAGACGTGGCCTTTTATCTGCTTTATTTTGTTTGTATGCTCAGGACCACCATCCTATCAAGAATTATTAATATTTAAACAATTATCCTGACAGCCTTAATGATGATGATGATAAGAATGAAGGGGTAATTAGACAAAAACTCAAGATATTTAAAGTTCACTTGTACTCCCAGATGTGGGCAAAAGAAGAGGGAACCAAGCTATTAGAAGAGCAAGGGGAAACCAAGCTCTGTTCCAGAGCAGGAAGAGCAAACCCGGTTCTGTTTATACTTCGGCCTCTTCCAAGATTATCTGAATTGGAATGAGGGGTTCATGCATGTGGATCTCAACTCAGACTTCAGGTAGACTTTCATTTACAATTTGACGCCTGTGAGTGACAATTGCTAAGAAAACCGATTGCTAATTCTTCTGCTGTGCAGAGGAGGCAGTTGAAAGCTTTTCTCAAGACTGCTTCTCCTTGTCCAGAGCTCATTGTTTTTGAACTACAACTCCCACCGTTCTGTTGTAGCAACAAGAATAATAAAAAGAACATTTCCAAGCTCTGTCCTTGCCCTGGCACGTGCCTGTCATGTTCTGGTATGTGGGCAAATTTCATATAAAAGCACCAAATACCACGTCTCCACATTAATAAGGACCAACTTAAACCTTTTTCTGACAGAGGTGGAGGACACAAGGCTTCCTTCCCATGCCAGCTATTTTTTCACGTCACTGTTCCCCCCCCCTCAATATGGCCCACATCCAGGTTTCTTCAGTTCTAGGGGCAAGATAATGCCCGCCCGCCCCGAATCTGAAGCTTATGGGGCACAGGATTGGTTGTGTGACACACAGCTCTCCCCCAAGACCATCCTGCTGCTGCCTTCCGGTATCTGCCACTTGAAGTGGTACCAGCTCACTTTCCCTAATGGTATATCATGTTTGATCACTGATATGCCATCGGTGTATCATTGTTGATAAGTGATATGGCTGCATCCGTATCAGATTGCCACCCTCCTTCAGAGGCAGAGAGGCTGTTTTCCTCTCTCCACCTCCCACCGTTTGCTCTGCCCTGAATGTCTGTTTTGAAGGCAGCACAGCTGCTTGCCAGGGCTCCAGCTGTCCTCCTCATCAAGCTCTGTGTTGACAAGAAAAGGTCACTCTTCCTGTACTGTTCCATCAGCATGTCAAAGAACGCGGGAGGTTAAGCTGCTTTAGACACCAGCAACCTGAAAGCTGCAAACTGTACAGTGAAATCCACCTGGGATGAAGAGCAAAGGGCACCTGCTGTTCTCTGGACATATTCCTGGATTCAGATCATAACATGAACAGCATAAAGGGGTTGATGGGATGGAGGTCTGATCCCTTGCATAACTGCTGTAACTGTTATGGAGGCATGAACAGCCGTTTTCATGCCATTCACAACTCCACCATGTTGGAAAGGGAGAAAAGGAACAAGGGTACTTGCACGAGCTTACAGTGTGTGTGTGTGTGTGTGTGTGTGTGAGAGAGAGAGAGAGAGAGAGAACACTAGTCAGGGTTCCTCATGTGTTCCCTTTGGCCTTACCAAAGGGAACACTGGGTTGGACAACTTCTGAAGAGCTGGAGGGCATTTGTGCTTCCATCTGCATCTTGGTGGTGGGTCACAGTCCCCAGGCAAAATTATATTTAGATGGAAAATTGTGCTCCCAGAGACTTGAGTGAATGTGGAAGAAAAAAAATTCAGGGCTTAGGGGAGCCACAATGAGAAAGACTTTCATATTTTGGGCATTCCTGCTGCAAATGGCATTCTCAAGTCCAACTCCATTGACGTTCACCTCCTCTGCCCCTTAGGATCTTTGTCTTAATCAGGTCCCCCACTGCTGGCAGGCTCCACACTTCTCTGTCTGTCTGAGGGTGGAATCAGACAGCTGTAAAGGCACGTGCCTGATCTCACTGTAAAGGGTCACTTGGGAGCAATCTTCCTTCAGGTGACCCTTCTGTCTGCTGGGGAATTGCTCCAGCCCAGCCCAAAAAAGTAGGAGTCCTGCAGCTGGACCAAAAAGATCCAGCTTGGGCACAGATCAGAGTCAGTGTGGAGTATGTTTCCCTGTATGCTGTGTGATCGCTGGTAAATAGATTGCAATGGACACCTACACAAGAGGTTAAAATACTGATCAAATACTGATCTACAGTATTTCCTTTGGTAATCATGCCCAGATGAGCAATTTCCTCAATAAACACTGCACCCCATGTCTTCAGACTGTCTTTGACACTGGTTCCTGACGGACAGCCTCCACCCAAAGCCAACACTGCATGCTCGTACTTTTGTGTCAGGTGGCCAAATTCATGAGGATGCCCTGAAGAACCCTTACCTGGAGCAATGGAGTTAGGATTCAGGGCTTTGCTCATCTTAAATACTTTGCTTGTTTTCTTTGGTACTTTTGGGGGTCCTCCTCCTCCTGAAGCGGCTGAGTGAGGTCCATCCTGGCTGTTCTCCTTCCACTCTGCATTATGGGCAGACTAGGAGACAAAGTATAAACAGCCAAAGTCATCACCAAATGAATGCTCTGGTGTTAGAAATGTGAGGACTAGTTCTTCTAGGAGAAACAGAATAGCCAAAACATTGCTATAGAAAGCTGACCAGGTAGTTGATAAAAGGCTAGCTTCTCTCTCACTTGAGAGTGGAAAGATAACTTCTTGTTGTTGTTGCTGTTGTTGTTGTCATATATTATTATTATTATTATTATTATTATTATTATTATTATTATTATTTAGAAACAAGAGTAACTGCCTTTGTACATGAACATTACTTCCCCAAGGTATATGTTGTGAAGACTCCAATCCAAAATAAGACTCATTCCTTTTTCATTAGTCCCATTTTCTCCTTGATTACAAAGAACCTCAAGAACAATTCCGCTCCCCTTTTGCTATTGAAATGTCAATTCTTCTGGAATGATATGTTTAGACGCTTAGGCTGTGACTACATGGTGAAAAACTACAGGATTTCCTCTGCTTATAAAACAGGTGAGTTTGAAGGACCACATGATGCAAAGACTGATTCGAATTGATCCAGCTCTTGCTTCCAAAGTGGCTTCTTTTTCCCCTGCTGCTGCGGGGGGTCCTTATGTTTTCAAGCTTGAATTATTCCAATGAGCTTTTCCCTGTGTGGTTAACTGTGATACATTCATGTAAAGACTAGGAAAGGGGAATGTCTGTAGCTGGTGTTTTGATGATGTAGGTAGTTGGACTGTGATGTTCAGGGCCAAGGGAACACTTTCCTCTCCCTTGATCATTCTCCCATTGATATATTTTTTTTAAAAAAAATCTTATATATACAAGATTAGTGCTAGATCACCCTAACACCTGTTGGGCCAAATAGGTGGGGTATAAATCAAATAAACTAAACTAAACTAACACCTTATCATGGGGTCAATGGTATTACTGTTTCCTATATTACACCCCCATCAGTTCCCCATCTAATTAAATGATGTGTGACCAGAGGAAGGAAGTAAAGAAGGGAGGATGTGTGCTGGAATGTCAATTGCATCACATCCAGCATGAATGGTGAACACCCAAATCAATCTCTGAGCACTGACTTCCATTTCAAACATAATATAGACTACAAATCAAATTGGAGTAAAGTTCAATTGGATTTCCAGTGTAGATGCACTGTAAGAAGGTATCAAAAGTCTTAGTGTCAAAATATGACTCTCCATTAAACATTTTAGGACTAAGGAGTGTAACTAGGCCGGGAATTCAGTGAAGAGTATACCTAGCTTTAAATATTCTATTTGTTCTATGTTGTTTTCAGTTATTTCAGGCCATTTAAAATAATTCATTTCTTTCAACTGTTTCGTTTTTGTAATCTACCCTGACATCTTCTTGATGTATAACAGGGTTTTAATAAATAAATAAATAGAATAATAAATATCAACACTTATATTATTATTTAACTCACATGACTTCTAGGGTGGCAACTCAGATACCAAACCCCAAAAAGAAATTGCAGCACCAAAATGGGGAGAGATTTGTATTAATTTTGCATAAATTGTGTATATGTAAACACAAATTCAGATGTAATGATTATAATTTAAATCAGTGGTTCTCAACCTTGGATAATCTAGGTGTTTGTGGACTGCAGCTCCCAGAAACCCTGTCCAACACAGCTGGTGGTGAAGGCTTATGGGAACTACAGTCCAAGGACACATGGGTGATCTAAGGTTGGGAACCACTGATTTAAATAACATTCTCAATTTTAGTAATTATAATTAAAATAATTGCTATAATTATAAACGTATAAAATATTTCAAATAACATTATAATCATTAGAATAAGAAAATAATATACATCTCTCTCTCTCTCCAGTGGAGAAAGTGTGACCGTATGAGCGGTGTGCCTGCGCGTGCATCCTGCTGTAGAGTTCCTATCTGCTGATGGACAATGTCAGGGGACTTGTCCTAAACTGGACAGCCTTTCAAACAAAGGGCACCTTTAATTAGAGGCCCACCCCATGAGATCTCTGTGAACAGAGTATTATCCTCTGCAACATGTGGCTATCCCCACCCACCCCACCACTTCCTAGCAATTTTCAGAGACCATTCGTCCTTCTGCTGCTCCCACATCGTTGTAGCCTGCCTCTGTGCTTCCTCCTTCCTCGGCTGTTCTGCTCGAGATCTGCAATGAGAAGGAGGGAAAATATCCATATGTGACATGGGCAGTGAGGACTACAAAGCCTGACAATGGGTAAGCTCTGGGGGATTATTTATATTTCTTTACCTATGCATTTATTTGATCTATATATCACCCCATTACTATACGCACTAGTCTGGGTGGTTTGCGAGATTAAAACTTAAAACCCTCAAAACACAATAATAATAAAACATTGAAAAACAATATGGTACACAGGCAACCGTTCAATCATAAATGTAAAGATCCCTAAAAATCTAAAATCAGTGGATGGAAAACCTGACAGCTTCCAAGAGTTTCAATTATTAAAAGCCGCTTTAAATAATTCTGTCTTTACCAGTTTTCTAAAGACAAGGGAGGAAGAAGTCTGGCGTATCTCTGATCGCATTTTGTTCCAAATCAAAATGGCATGATTCTTTGTTTTCACCTTTTTGGCTTCCCTCGGTGTGGCCACTTTTAGCAACATGGATTGAGAGGAGTGGGTGGAGCAGACAACTGATTTCTGGGAGAGATGTTCAGACAAGTGTCAAGGTCCTCAATCCTTAAGGGCTTTATAGGTCTTAACCAGCACCTTAAATTGAGCATGGATACCAACAGGCAACTACAGTATGGAGGTGTGCCAAGACATGGGGATATATGATTAAATTTACTGGTCCTTGTCATCAGACTGGCTGCCACATTTTGGACCTGCTGAAGTTTCCGTACTGTTTTCAAAGGCAGCCGTATGTAACAAGTGTTATAGTAGTCTATTTTTGAGATTATCAAGGCATGAGCCACTGTGGTTCAGCATTTCTTAAGTAGGGATGTGACAGAGCAATCAACTAAAATTGGTAAAAGACACTCCTGGCCAGGGCAGATTACTTGCAAACCTGACAATCCACTGAAATGGTGTGTTCTGCAGTGGTTCATAATCTGACCTTTATAGCAAGAGTGGGCAATGTACAATCTTCAGGTCACATGCAGGGCCCCCCCAGCCTATTTAACACTATCCAGGCCCTGCTACTGCTTCTCATGTTTCCACTACCACTACAGTCTCAGTGATCCTACTGGGAAACATGATGCACAGGGAAGACCCACCTTGCTTCTAAGAATTGCTCGCTATTTGGAATTATTGTGAAAGAAGGTGTTTGCTCTCCGTGTGTTATGTTTCCCAGAAAAATCACTGGATTTTGGTAGTGATTATAGAAATACTAATTTTGATGCTGGTAGCGCATCGTGTTGCTCTGCCAACTCCTGCGACATTGCTGGAACCAGTTGTATTGGCTCTTGCCTTTCCATTGGACCATTTCAGCAACGTGGAGAGGGGGGATTTGCTGCTTGGGTAACAGCCTATCCTCCATATTACCTTACCCAGGTTTCATGCTCTGGAGAGGACACTCCTCGATTCAGAGCATGTTACCATAGTCTCTCGAGACTGAAGGATGCCTATGATGAGCGCAGGAGTGCAGCCCCTAGAAGATTCTAGGTTGGGGAAGTCAATGCAACCTCCTGGATTAGAGATTTCTCACTTCTGGCTTGTTTTGTTTTGTTTTGTTTTGTTTTGGTTGGTTGGTTGGTTGGTTGGTTGGTTGGTTGGTTGGTTGGTTGGTTGGTTGGTTGGTTGGTTGGTTGGTTGGTTGGTTGGTTTAAATTTAATATACCACACCCATTACAGCCGCAGCACTACTCTGGACAGTTCACATAAAAATACAGAATTGAATAGTTCGTATGATAAAACCATGAGTGATCTAACCATTTGAAAACACAGAGCATCAAAGCATTAATAAAAATGCATAAAACAGAAAAAAAATGACTAAAATATAGATAACAACTGAGTGGAAAAGTAAGAGTACCTCAACTCAACTAAGGTCACAGTGGAAGGCCTCCCTGAAAAGCCGTGTCTTCAGTTGCCTCTTAAATGTTGACAAGGAAGAGGCCAGGTGACATTGACTGGATCACAAGTAGCTCCATGCTGCAAATATGACTTTGTCCATGCAATGTATAACCATGCTCACTCTTGGCTGCCTCATGAAACTCAGAGGGAAGATGACCTGAAGGCAAAGAGGCCTTGACTTCATCTTCCAACTGATATAATAAAATGCAGACATGGCTCTTGGCTTCTGCTCCTTGTGTTATCACTCTAATTCTAAAAGGATGTACAATAGCTGCTAGGACTTTAAATTCTAAAGCTCTTTGGCAATAATCTCAAAAACAGTTTGGGACCAGGATATTTGAAGGAGTGGTTGTCTGAGGTGAAATTGTCTAGACTCTGTTGTCATTAGTAGAAGCTTTACTCCACATTCCGTTGCTGTCAGAGGTTTAGGTGGGTGATACACATGGCAGATCCTTTTCAGTTGCAGCACCAAGTGCAGAGCACCCCTTTTAAAAAGGGCCAGTTGTAGCAGCCGCTGGTTTGTGCCACAGAAAGCACCATAACCAATGGTGGGGAACTGGGGGGGGGTATGTGTACACACACTGGGCAGCTCACCTCTGCCTTGTTTGTTTCTTCTCACAAACATAAACACGCATAGAAGCAGGCAGGCAGGCATACATGCACATAAAGGCCTTCTGCCTCTAATAAGGAGGCTGAGGCCGAGGTGAGCTGCCCAGGAGTAGCCTGAGCTTGCGGTAGGGCAGCACTGCCCAACTGGCCTCCCTCCTCGATGCCATAATGGTTAGAGTCATTTTGTTTCCCTTCACCTGAAGCTTGCTTTTGTTTCTCTCCCTTATTTCATGTCATGCTTGTTTTTATATCATCACTGACACTGTGTTACATTTAACATTCTAGTTGCTGCCTTAGAAGGTTCTTGGGATAGAAAGGCTATATAAAGCAGTGGTCTCCAACCTTGGGCCGCCAGATGTTCTTGGACTTCAATTCCCAGAAATCCTAGCCAGCAGTGGTGGTGATGAAGGCTTCTGGGAGTTGTAGTCCAAGAACATCTGGAGGCCCAAGGTTGGGGACCCCTGATATAAAGGATAGGGAGGCACACATTTTAATGATTCAATAGAGAGGAAGGGAACTGAAACTGGAAAGAAGGCCAAGGGGTGACAAAGTGGTTTAAGAGGGTTTATTGCCTACAAACACCCTAGAAGCTTTGCTGGGGAGTTTCAGTCTCTCAGACGTAGAAAAGGTGCAGCCTTTTCCTAATCCAGTTGAGATCCAGATACTTCAACCTAGATCTCCCATCAGGCCCACACAACATATGGCCAGTGGCATGGGATTCTGGGAGTTGTAATACAAAACATCTGGAAAGCCAAAGCTTATCCACTCCTAGATGAAACTATGCCCTTAGGGGTGAAAATGGAGCAGAAAACCTACTGCCTATCTTGCCCACTTCTGCTGTTGCTACTGGCTCATATAGGGATTGTTCTTGCAGGAACTTTCTGCCTCCCTTTCCCATTGGGATAAAACCAGGACTCACCAAATGGTAGCCCACAGGAGGTTCCAGCACAAATCGCTGCACCCTTTTCTGCCTCTTCTGGTACAGCCTAGAACCCCTGTTTATTGGCAGGGAGAGCTCTTCCACCATCAGATCCTGAGGGACACTGACCTTCTTTCCCAAGTCTAGATGCGGACCTGAAAAAACATATATATATAAAAGTACAAGAGGCTGTAGAAGAGCCAGGATAGAATAAGTAACAGCATATCTACTCAGAAGTCTCACTGAGTCATTATAAGCAGACATCCTGTAAAAGGGAAAATATTACTGTTGTATAGTGCCTCCACAAGTTTCAGATTAACTTACTATTCTTTGGTGATTGTTCATTGAGACACAAACATGGGCTTCACTGACAAGTCTAATTGCTCAGGCACAGACCTTTGCAGGAACTGGATTGCTGGAGGGAAAATGTTTACCACATTCTAATTGTGAGGCTGACACCTTTGTTAGTTTGATCTTTAGGTTTTCCAGATGGTTCTTCCTGGACTGCATAATATCCCATTGGTTACAATTTGACTCAGCATAGAAGACTACGGCAGCCAAGGTTGACCTACCATCTTCTTCCACAATCTGTTTCACTATGGCATGGACGGGTGTGTGCTGTTCCTTCCTGAGATCCAGCTGTGGAACAGGAAACATGTTTTCAGCTGTAAAGGAAAGGAAAAGTTGATTAGTCTTTGTTTGCACATTTGTTAAAGCTTCTGTTACTGCTCCTACTTTGGTATCCAGTACAGTAGTAGGATGTACATGCAAACTAAGTTTGCACCAGAATCTTCATGGGGCTCCTCTTTTCTTTTGGAATGTTTAATTTGGAAGAGTACCACAGGTTCCAAGACAAAATACTGTGCAGTAAGAGAAAATCTAAAATGAATACTATCTAAACAGGCTTTCTAAACTGTAAGAATGCACAGAAAGTAATGGTCAATAACTCTTGGGAGGCAGCCATACCCATTCATTCTATTTGTTCACTACCATTCCATGAACTGTTTATCCATCAAATGTGGGCCAACAACTCCCAAAGAACAGTATCTGAAACCCTGGATCAACTGCACAGCGCTCTTGGGAAAAAACTAAAAAGGAAGATGTGTATGGCAGTATGCTTCAAGGAAACAAAGAGGAACCAGTTCTTTTTATGAAGTAAAGAGAGTATCAGAGCTTGAAAAAGTTACCTTTTGGGATGATAATTCTTTCTAATTTCCAGTGGCAGTCATATGGTGGGAGTTGAAATACCCAAAAATATATTTTCCAGGCTGTGGAAAATATAAATTCAAAGGAACCAGGCTAATGCTCAAGGTACGGAAGGACAGGCATTTGTCAGAGTCCACAGACATCTGTAAGTATCTTATAGCTGCCATTCAAGCCACTGGTCCATAGAGTTCAAGATTATCTCCTCTGACTAGTAGTACCTGTCCAGGTTAGAGCAGTTGTGAAAGAACTGGAGAAATCAAAGATTGAAACTGATAATTTCTGCATGCTATAACTTTGACTGTAACCCCAGCAATATGGCAAAAGGATAGGTTGCTTTACTATACCTGTAGTTCTTTGAGTGGTCTGTTATGAACTCACACAACTGAGTCTTCAGCTTGTGCAGAGCTATGTCCAGAATCTTTTACAACTGAGTACCTAGCTTCAGACAGGAATTCCACCCTCACCCTCTCACTCTACATGCCTAGGCATCCCCCAGTGGCTTTCTCCTCAGTTTCATCCTCACCACTGATGGGAAAAATGGTTTTCAGCAGAACAGGCTATACAGAGGTGAGAGGATTGTGTGAATTTGCAGATGGCTGTTCAAAGAACTACTATTAGAGGTAAGTGACTTGTCTTTGTGGACTCTGAATCATACAAATGTGTGACTGACTAACTCACTTACTGGAGGCAGACACACATCAATGCCAGAAGAGATGATAGAATGGCATGATCAAAAGATGTATCTGCCTGAACATGAACACAATCTATTGTGAGTAAAAAATGTGAGTGTGTGAGAGACCATGTGGCTGCTTTGCACATGTCAAGCAAGGGGACTCCTTCCAGAAATGTCATGAAGAAGGCCAGTAATCTGCTAGAATGACTGCAAGTACTGGTGGGGACAGACAACAAGTTAGCTGATAGGCAGCCATGATCGTAGTAGTGACCCGTTTTGCAACACATTGAGCAGACACAGGATCATTCCTCCCAGTGCCCCATAAAAAGTCTTGGTGATATGCAGAAGGATTTTGTTCTGGCAAAGTAAAAGGCTACAGCACGATGAACCTCCAGAGAATGAATAACACTTCTAAAGGTGTAAAACAGTGTGTAAAAAAAAAAAGTAGGCAGCCTAATGTGCTGACTAATATGAAACTGAGAAACCACTTTAGGAAGGAAGGTATTATCCAGTGTGAAAAGAACCTTGTCTCTAGGGAATATAAAAAGGGGGGCATCTCATCTCACAGAGTTCCCTGGTTGTATGAGTGAATGTGACTGGTACCAAAAAAAGTCAGATGAAGAATAAGAAGATGAAGACCTACAGTAAACAGTAAACGCTGGAACAAACCAGAAGGAAAGCAACACTGGTTGACCTAGTTCATATTCATGTGTTTGCCTGTGCTCTGTCTGGAATAGTTAGCTACCTCATTGGCATCACTGGCCACATCAATTGCAAACAGAAATACCTGCTTGACAATACACCATTCCCAAAATAGTCTGGTAAATTGAAGGACCTCTAGATAATGTATTCCATACTGGTTTTTAATACAAAACATGGTGATCGTGACATCTGTAGGTACTTGAACCACTAATCCTTTGTCAAAAACTTCAAAGGCTTTTAGCTCTTTGAAGACCACAAAGAGCTCCAGTCTATTGATGTGAGAGTGGCATTCTGTATCAGACCGTGGTGGATAAATCTGCTGGTTGTGACACTGCAATGCTGAACCTATCAAGGACACATCTGTAGTCAGTATTACTGTTGAAGAAGGAATTTTGAAAGGCAGGCCTGTGCATACGTTGGCATCCCTTTTCTATTTTAGGACATCATAGTAGAACTACTTTGGATAAGGTGAGTTACTTTGTGTAGGAATCTAGATAATCATTGCAATGAGCCATTTCCCAGGACTGTAGAGCCTGCATCTGAAGATGATTTATTAGAATGACTGACTTCATCAAGGTCTTAAGCCTAAGATGTTGTTGAATGATAAGTATTGAAGAAAATGGATTTCAGGAGACTTGATGGACCAAAATGTTCCATTATTCTTGCTTGTCATGTGGCAGGAATGTCCAGGCGACCCAGAATTGAGAATTGCAGCTACATATTGCAATAAAACAATGATTGGAGCAATTGGCACAAAACACTTGGAAGTTCAGATTTTTCGATATGCTGAGAGACTACTACAAACAACCAAGCACTGATATCCAGAAGAATTACAAGGCTCATTACTCAAAGGTAGGCTGCTACTAGCAACATTTACTTCTTAAAGATTCTGGGCATAATGGCAAATCAAAAATGAAGGACCTTGAACTGGAAGACCATGGCATGGAAGGCAAAATGAAGGTAAAGATTGTGAGACAGTTTGGTGGCAGTGCAGAAATACCTGTCTTTCAGACCTTTTATACTTTCTAGGAAGGAGGGAAGGAAGGATCAGAAGAATAGAATTGTCTACATGGAAACATTCGTTCATCATGTGCCACCAAGTCAATTCTGACAATGGTGACAATTTTTCAGGGTTTTCCAGGTAGTGAGTACTCAGAAGTGTTTACCATTAGACTTAGTATAAGCTGAAGGTTGATGCCAGCCTGACTTCAGTTGTTTACAAGGTTGAAAGCACTGGCAAAAGAGGGAAGTGAACCAGTGTCTAAGAAGTGCATCAAATCCTGCTGAAAACTGGATGGACAATGGGAAAGCTGGCATTTTCCTTTATTACAGTAGTAATTTAGCCATTCCAAATATTTAGTTTGTGAAAGACTGAATGTCTTCAGAAAGAGAAAGGGGTGGTATCTCCAGTACATGGACCAGGGTGACTGGAGGTAAGAGATACACCATTGTTGACAACAAGCCATCAGTGATGGAAGCTAAATCATGATCATCCATGCTGACATATGTTTCAGTGATCAACCTCTTCAATTGTTGTCTGTGATACTGAGAGCAGGGTATAATTGCCTGAGACTAAAGGGACTGATATCAAACGAATAGGCATTGATGATGGAACCAAAGGAGCAAACAAAATTGCATAGAAGGAATGGAATTAGATAAGCTGGTAACACTGCTGCAAAGGCTATGGGTGTGATGGAACAACTGATGACAGCAAAGTCAATGTTGTGGCAAAGTCAGTGTTGTACACATGGGACAAACTGATTGGTGGTGCTGCCAAATGTTGACAACACTAAGTGTTCCTGGAGGAGAGCAACATCTTAATGCTTTGGCAACAGAGGATGATTCTAATTGATCAGAGCATTTCAACACTGAAAGGCAATAGCCTCAGAAATCTCTTTGGGAAGAAGGGGAGGGATGAGCAGGCATAATGTTGCAGTTAATATTGGTATGGAGAGCTATAGTAACAAAGAGGTACATGTTAAGTACCACAGTAAGCATAATCCCTCCATGGTGATTGGTTGTACAAAAGAAATCTGGAATGATGAGGTGAGTGAGACCAACCACGATAGTACCAAGTGAGCGATCAACTGGAGTGTTCAGACCTTGGCAAGTATTCCTCCTAGCCCAATCATGGGACTGACATGAGAGAGGAATGTGTTACACTGTGATGGAATGAGCTGCACCTCAAAGCAAGGTCCTACATAGACCACTTCAGCTGAAGACAGTTTCTGCGCCCTATGCTGGAAAGAGGTCTGAGAGTGGCATTTTGGTCTTTTCCAGGGAAGATTGGGTGCCGTTGCTTCTGAAAGCTTGTCAGCTGTGAATGATTCTGGATGTTGCTCTGGGCAAATGCAAAAGCCATTTGGCAACTCACAGGGGTCCTGAAGAACAACAGCAAGGTGTTCAGTGAACTGACCTCAGCTATTTGCACAAGCTGCAAATAAGGGATAATTGACAGACAGACAGACAGAAACCTTTATTGGCATACTGTACAAAATTAAAACACACTAAGATGCAGATAAAACATTCAGCAGATAACATGTGGCAGGGAACAGCCAAATAACATCGTTAGGGCTCAGCATTCTGCAATAGCACAATGAGTTGCCTCTGCATGATGGAGTAGATGCACCTGGCTGTTGTCAGGGTAAGTTCCTAAATAGTGCCATCTATCCTTATACAAGATATAGTAAAACAACATATGCTTCAAGGATTCAACCAGTCCTTGACCGCAAGGGCAGATTCTCAGTTCTGTTGGTAAACCCATGTATCTGACCTGTGCCAAGTTCAAAGTACAATATTGCACCTAGCAAGGGTGAATGCTCAGCAGTCTTGGGGATGCTCTAAGAGATAGAGGTAATTAGATCTTCTGCCATGGGAGAAGGGCAACTGAAAATATACTGTAGTGGGGAACAGATCCTTTGTGCAGAACTATGCAGGGTTTGCCCCTCAATATCCAGAACTCTATTTTTGATTGTACGGAATACCTGGGATAGGATCATTGAACCCAGCAGATCTGGTGGGTCCTGATTTTCTTGAGAAATGGGGCCAACCCTTTTGGAAGTACACTGTCAGAAAGCAGCGCTTGGAATAGGATGTCCTGGGCTGAGAAGAAATAGGTTCTAACCTGGTATTTAAAGAATCGGAGCCAAGCCAGGGTCTCAATCCTGTGTTGGCCGCCTTCAAGGCGTAGGGTTGCATAGGAGACGCAGCAGGGGAGGCCAAAGGTTTTGTATAGGAACATTGATTGTATCCTTTCCACAGAGCTGTGAAATGCAGACATCCAGATGGGGACACCATAAAGAAACTCTGCTGCAGATTTGGCATTAAAAATCTGCAGTGCAACAGAGATGTACGAGTGGCCCCAAGTACGATGGAAGCATAAGATAGCCTGCTCTGAAAGTTTTGTTGACTTAATCGCTGTCTGTCGGTGAGTCGACTATGTGTGTCTATAAAGAAAAAAGACACCCAAATACTTAAACTCGCTGACCTGCTGGATGGAGTTTCCATTGAAAGACCAAGAAAACGGTTTCCATGCTTTGCCAAAGACTACAATTTTAGATTTCTCAACATTTAGTTGGAGCTTGTTACGTGTCAAGTAGTCATGGCAGCTGCTAACTATCTGCTTTAGGCCAACCCTTGTGCGGGACAGGATTACCATGTCATCTGCTGTGGGAAACTCCTGCTTAAAGGCTGTAGCTGCTTTCTGTTCCAGTGACATGCATACACTCCTGGCGGGAAGCAGCAGCTGCCAGCAGGCAGGGTAGCCCCTTATTCTGCCCTTTCGCTTAGAGGTAGAGCATAAGATGAAAAGGTTATTTCAGCCAATCCTGGTTATGATTAGGTAACTAGTATCCTATCTGTTTGTCTCATAACATACTATGTAATCATGCTAAGTAAATAAAAGAGCTCTCAGGGCATTGCCTGTAGGCTCCACTGGCTCGGACAACCATTGTCAACTCCTTTGTTTTTTCTCTAAGGCAATTAGCCTTCATTTGTTCCATGATCACCTACAATCCACATATAATAGAATTGAAATCTGTATAGGGACTAGTTCGGGGCAAGAATAACTACAATTTTCTCTTCTCTCTCTGCTGAGTTCTGTGTGGTTGTCTAAAGCAATAGCTCTGCTGTGGCCTTCCAGATTTGCAGGAGGCATGGCTACAGCACAGCTACCTTAACAAGATGGAAAGAAGGACTGATTAGTGATTTCCTCTTTGGTATCTGCTGACTACTCACTCTTTCCCCCCGTTTGGTGTCCACATGCCAGTCTGCCAGTCTGCCAGTCTGCCAGTCTGTCAGTGCCTGCCTGCCTGCCTGCCTGCCTGCCTGCCTGCCTGCCTGGATGGATGGATGGATGGATGGATGGATGGATGGATGGATGGATGGATGGATGGATGGATGGATGGATGGGGTAAACAAGCAGACTAAGACATGAGGTTTGGGGAGAAACTTGCAAAGGCAACCAGTTTCCCATCTGGATAGGCCTATTACCCTGCTTCTCTCACTGATGTTGTAGCCAGATGGAATGGTTTAAACAGAATGGCTTCCATATTAGCACAAGCCATCACCTGAGCCAATGTGAATGCATTAGCTGCCAAAAAACGTAGAAGCCCCAGCAGTGTAGGAAAAAAATTGGCTGATTTGCTTTGACTTGTTCATCATGTAGTCAATGGAAAATAATTCAAATCTTAGCATTCCAACCCTAGAGCTTTTACTGTATTATTTGCCAATGTAGCTACTCCCTCAGTGAGTTTCATGGCTCTGTGAGGGACTAAAATCCGGATCACTCAAGTCCCAGTCCAGTGCTCTGATCCACTATATTCCTGTGGCTCGTATCTCCAGGCAACAGTATTTGTCCGTAGGGAACAAATGATTTGTGCTGATGCTTGATTGTAAGCAAACAAATGCCATAACAGAAAACAAGGTGGAGATCCAACCTCTTCTGTTCTTAGCCTCCATGGGGACTGTGTTCCTCCCCTGTGGCAGAAGCGATATATCCCTAAACTGGCAGTATCTATTTTAAGTAACTGACCCAGGAGCATTGGGACATGTAACCCTGATCCTTGGAGCGTGAAGGATGCAGGCAAGGATTTTTGAGATGATGATCTCATACAGGTTGGAAGCAGACAGGCATGCTTAATCCAGAGATCACACTTACCCAAAGGGCACAAGGTTAAGCTTGTTCCTGCATGCACAAAAATTCCAGGTCTTCAACATAATTATGTTGATTTTTGCTTCATATGCTACAAGGTGTCACTTGTCTAGACATCAACTTCCATCCTATTCCCTTGCAAGCCTGCCACTTGCACCAAATGAGGTATCCCATGCACAACAATGCCTGCTGTTGCTGTATGGTGGTACAGGGGAGATCACTGAAAATTCACTTTGTGCCTGGTTTATCTGGTGCTATTTGTGCCACGCATGTCAGAATTCAGATGTGCAGTCACCCAGGCTGCTATAGATGAGGTTTTTTTTTGTTATAATTTTGTTGTAGCTCCAGGAGTCAGGAATTTGATTTCCCATTGGCCTTGAAGGAGAACAGCCAGCCTGTGCAGCCCTTGGCTACCAGCACAGCCCCGGAGTGCCCATGGAAGAAGGGAAACTTGAGTATGCTAAACCTAGCAAAACTTGGCAATGGCCACTGTAAGTCGAAATCAGCTTGATGGCACATAGTTATTTTGCTATACAGTAATTGCCCCTTGAAACTCTTCTGGCCCCCAGTTCTCTTTTGAGTGCATGTCTTTCCCAACCTAATTAATTTTCATGTGGCCTCTATCATATATGAGCCTTTTTGTTGCTCCCGGCCAAAAACAAATTAAGGAACTAAAATATTCTGATTCAGCTTACATCAGCTCACATCTAAGTGTCATTTTGACACACTGACCATTTTTACAGAGGAAAAGTCAAACAACCTCTGAGGCAACCTTTCAATCTTTTTAGAGGTGAATGGATCAGTGCAGTTGTGTTTCCTGCTGCATTACTTTAAAAAAATCTCAAGTTCTTTCCACTGAATTTCTGAAGACATTTATTAATTTTGGCAAGGTCTTCTCTCACAAACCAAATATTTGCCCATCCCAAAATCTGGCATCTAAATCATGGTACTGTATCCCCACCCCCACCCCAAAAGAAATGGACCCAGGGTTTTGAACTAGAGCCATTTCTGTCTAAACTGATAGATGGGCAATGCTGGTCCGACCAAAGAATCTCGTCTCCTCTTGGTAGTTCCCAGTTCTGGAGTATATAATTTCCTTCTTGCTCTTTCTAATTTTAAATGACAAGTCTGTTCCTGGGCTGTAGGGCACTTGCAATTTGTGACCATAATTCAACAACAGTCAGGGAGTTCTTTGGCAAATTTCAATGGAACTGCCCTCCACAGGAATGTCTTGAGCTCCCCTATCTGACTGCCACAAGGCAGCCCAATGGAGAAGTCTCCTTGGTATCTGAGGAGACGGTTGGAAACTGGAAAACTAATTAGCACAAAGCTGAGGGAGCTAATGTTACAGAGCCATCAGAGCCATGCATTTTAAACAATCCCCAGCTTGCTTCTGCTCTTGCCCTGTGTGTGTGTGTGTGTGTGTGTGTGTGTGTGCGCGCGCGCGCGCATGTGTGTGTGTGTGTGTGTGCGCGCGTGTGCGTGCGCGCGCGCGCGCGTGCGTTTGGGAGTGACTAATGTTCTTCCATGGCATCCCAAGTAATGTGAAGACAAACAACTAGAAAAATGGCACACCCTTATATAGAATTTTTGTGCCAGAAGTGTTTTTTGGTTTTTTGTTTTTTTGGGTGGAGCAAGCAAACCTCTGTCAGCTCAAGCTTCTTGGGGCTACTGCTGCGTTATGCCCATCCGCCCTTTGGCTGACCTAACAAATCCTATTTTTCATATTCTGCAGCTGATTTTCCATGTCAACATCCAATCATTTTGGTGACTCCGGTCTATTTTTTTAAAAAAGGACTTTCCTCTAATTTGTTCAGGTGGACCCTTGTCCAATAAAACTGAGACTGAAAGAAGACCATATGTGTTTGCACCTATGTTTGGAAAAGAAGATCCTTCCTCCCCACCTTCCTTCTTCCTTCAATGTATGCATAGTTTAAATCGGAATTGCTCGTAGTACTCACTGACTTTTAACAGAGAAGTGTCAATTAGTACATATGGTATGTAGGAATGAGTTGGGATGGTGGCGGCATCTGTCCTTTGGCAAATGAAATTTTCATTTGGTAAATCAAATCAAAAAGCCTAGGCAACACCTTCTCACCTACTGAGCCACTGCATGTGCCAGAATGTAACGCCCAACCTACAGGTGTTCCCTTTTCTTTTGTCCCCCTCACCATTCAGGGTCATTTGCTTGTCTAGATGATCCCACCATAGCCTCTTATAACTATGGAGCTCAGTCCCTCATTCTGCATGGTCCCTTCCTGGGATTTGGGCTGATTGCCTCCCTCTTGCCCGATTTCATGTGCTTAGAGGGAAAGAGCCGTTTCGTTCACAGTGCCCTGACTGTATCTGATCCTTGGCAGGGCACTGCAAGAGAAGGGTACAAACGGCCATAGAATGAGAACTGGATTTGCTAATGGCTGCCACAGACGTGCTTTTTGCTGCCAAATCCTGTTCTTTTCTTATCGCCAGAAGCTGACTGAGCCTCAACTTATTAAAGCCCCAAATTTCAGCCTGACAAGGACCTCTCTTTGGACTCTAAGGTCCACCTGCTGAGCCCTCTAATCCCCTCAATTATTCACACACCATAAGCAATTAGAACGTGCCATGCTTCATCATGCACAGTCTTCAAATGTTTTCTCTCCCTTATCTCCAGTTGCCTTTGAAGCAAGAGACAAGATTTTTCCGGTACCTGCTGGAGCCTTTCCCTCAGACTCGCAAAGCCTGGTCGCACAGTCTTGAAACGGCCAGCACTTCCCAGGTGGGGATTAGAGCCTCGCCTTGGCTTCCTCCCTCAGCACCTTTTCTCACCCAAGAGATTCTCCAGGCCGGTGCTTTCCAGCTGTCCCAAGCCTTGTCCCCCTTGCGCTTTTTTAAAAAAAATCTCCTCCAGCAGAGATTCCGAGGTGCCTCATCTATGTTACATCAGACATTTATTTCTGGCTGAGGAAAGAGGTGTGGCCAAAGTTGGGTCTGCCTGAGGCACGGCTGACCGCAAAAAAGAAACACATGGACCATGTTGCTGACATTGCTTTAACACCCATTTATTGTACAGCAAGTGATTGTATTTATCCCAATGTTGCCAAAAGCCACAGCTGTTGCTCTCAGTTTCTGAAGACGACACCAGCCCAAGCCAGAATCTTTTCTAGTCAGGTCAGGAACCCTACATAAAAGACTAGGAATCCAGTACAGTATTTAAAAAAGGGTGGGTCTTTTCCACAGAGACATCCATGTATATCACTATGTATAACTAGTCAGGTAAGAGCGTGAATATTCTCACATGTCATCTCTTCTTTTATACACACACACACACACACACAGAGAGAGAGAGAGAGAGAGAGAGAGAGAGATTGTGTTTATATATGTGTGTGTGTGTGTGTATGTGTGTGTGTGCGCGCGCGCACACACACACACACACAGAGTGCTTGTTTTAAGCTTTATGTGGTTTTAAAACAAAGAGTTTGGATGAAAAACTTTCTACTTTCTTGGAGTCTAGTAAAAATTGACCAATCCCAGTCAAGTAGACTGAGCTGGTCCAAAAAACGTAATGGGTTTAGCTTCCGAGTAAAAACTTTAGAGCTAGAAAACATAGAATAGAAAACTCCTAAGATGGGAGGTTCTCCTGGCTTCATGGAAGGGCCAAGACTGCATCCCTTCATATTTCTGTCCTAAGAGATAAGACCATGGTGCTAAATGCAAAGTTTGCTTTATGTATCTTGGCATGATATACTATTTTGTGACTTCTTGCAGGACCAGGATGTCAGATTTGGGCACAATGCATCAAATTACAATGAACTCCAGTGGATTATACTTTTTTTAAAATGAAACCTGGCCACTGAATTTTGAAACATCTTAAGTCCTAGCAGAGCTACAACCTGCCCACTTGTACAGTATTCTGTTTAGTACTATATAACAAAGCTAGCATGGCATAGTAGCTATATTATCATCCTAGGACATGAAACCTGGGTTCAAACACTTGCTCAGCTCAATTTCTTGGCACCAAACTCAACCATCTGAATTGGGCCCTACAGGTAAATGGCTATTCCAAGAATGAAATCACAAGAGCCATCAAACTGAGAAAACGACACCGAACTGAACAAGAAAAACAGCCGCCCACAAATAAAGCATACTGCCATACATCAAAAGGGTCACAGACTGCATGGGGAAACTTTTGAAAAAACACAACATACAAACAGTATTCAGGCCCACCACAAAAATACAACAAATGTTACTGTCAGCAAAGGACAAAATGGACCCCTTCACCACTGCAGGAGTATACCAGATACCTTGCAGTTGTGGCCAGGTATATATTAGGACCACAAAATGCCGCATCCACACCAAAATCAAAGAACATGAGAGATACTGCAGACTAAAACAACCAGAAAAATTGGTAGTAGCTGAACATGTCCTGAAACAAGTTGGACGTGAAATTCTATTTAAAAACATAAAAGTACTGGACAACACCAGCAATCATTATGTTAGACTGCACAGGGAAGCCATTGAAATCCACAAACACCAGCAGAGCTATAACAAATAAGAATGTCTAAAATTCAACAAAGCCTGGCTCCCAGCACTGAAAAATACAGCCTGCAAAAAGTTCAATGAACTCTACCCAGCCACAAGGACCGGTGATCACTGCACACAAAAGACCAGCTAACGACACCCATCAATCATAGCGACAGATAATTGCTCCCCCCCTTATCGCAATGATACACCCATAACAAAAAACACCCAATCTCCTGAAAAGAACAAAAAGCTGATCCCACAGCTACAAATACTCAACTATCCCACACACTATACCGGAACACAAGAGAGTTATAACTCCTGTCCTCTGAAGATGCCGGCCACAGATACTGGTGAAACGTTAGGAAGAAAAACCTCCAGAACACAGCCAAACAGCCTGAAAAACCTACACCAACCAACCCCCTTTAACTTTTCCTCCTTCTCTCACCATACTGTTCAGCAGCATGCTAGAAAATAAAAGTTGCTCAGACAAAGCTGAAACTCTGAGCAGTTCTTCCCTACCAAGGAGTTAATTTGTAGAACTGGAAGACTATAGCACTCATTGCTACTAGCCAACAGAGATCATAGGCGCCAGGCTTTTCCAGTAGTAGTGCAGGTTCTGGGTTCAGGCAAGATGGTTTTTATGGGTGAAAGGCAAGAAATGGATGAAAGCTCTCTCTGACTTTAATAGCCAAAGATACTGGCTGAATATTCAGGTCACCCATAGCTCTTTAGATATTTTTGACCTATAACACCCTGCAGCCATTGGGGAAATAGTTAGAGATTGTAGTAGACATCCTTCAGTCTCAAGAGACTATGATAACACGCTCTGAATAGAGGTTTTGGAACAGCATCTAGTGTGGCTGAGATGGCCAATTCGAGACTGAATCCATTCCACACCAAAGACAAATACAATCTGTACCCTGTCCAGCTCCCCGATTTTGCTAGTTTCAGGACTGTCTCTTTGCCTCCGCCTGCTGAATAAGTGTCTCTTCAAATTGAGAGAGACCATGCCAAGGTTTCCCATCTGTTGAGTTCCATTCCTAAGACCTTCAGATCCCGCTTACAGATATCCTTGTATCACAGCTGTGGTCTCCGTCTGGGGCACTTTCTCTGTACTAATTCTCCATCCAGGAGATCTTTCGGAATCTGATTATCAGCCATTCTCACGACATGCCCAAGCTAACATAGACGTCGCTATCTCAGTAATGTATTGTTGTTTAGTCATTAAGTCATGTTTGACTCTTTGTGACCCCATGGACCAGAGCACGACAGGCCCTCCTGTCTTCCACTGCCTCCCAGAGTTTGGTCAAATTCATGCTGGTAGTTTTGATGACACTGTCCAACCATCTTGTCCTCTGTCGTCCCCTTCTCCTCTTGCCCTCACACTTTGCCAACATCAGGGTCTTTTCCAAGGAGTCTTCTCTTCTCATGAGATGGCCAAAGTACTGGAGCCTCAGCTTCAGGATCTGTCCTTCCAGTGAGCACTCAGAGTTGATTTCCTTTAGAATGGATAAAATAGGTTTAGCTGAGAGGATTAGCCTAACATTGCCCAGGAAACTTTTGAGAATGAGCAGGGGTTTGTACATGGGTCTCCCTGTTCAATAACCAATACCATAACCATTAAACTATACTGACTGTATCAGACCAATGCTTACTCATTTAAATAGTAAGCCCTGACAATTGCTTTGTGTTTAGGCGGGAAGAGGTTAATTGACAAAAAAGGAACCAGTTTCTCAGGTTTCCCCTTGCTTGATATCACTTAGTGAATGGTAGGGAGCACAAGAGGGTATCTTGTGACCATCTTGACTGCTACCGTTGGTGAACATTCAGGCTGCCTGTTATGTAAAACGTAGCATCCTTTTTCTTGGTGACAACATTAGGCCATTTCCTGATGTTTTGAATCACAGATACAGAAGCACAATATCTGACATTCATAAACTGGAGCGTGTTTCTTTTAAAGAATTGAATATTTCATAGCCCCTACTGTCACATCTGCAAGAGGGCCAGACCTCCACGAAAAATCCAGAAATAAGAAAGACCTCTCAAACACTGTGCTTTACTGTGGCTGCCATCTTGTGGTCACTCTTCCAATCTGTATTTTCAGGGGCTGGAAATAGGCCAAACTTAAAGTAAAATTTTAATGATTATTTTTGGCACTGGACTTATTTTATTTATACCCAACACAGCTTGTTTATTTATTTATTTATTTATTTATTTATTTATTTATTTATTTATTTATTTATTTATTTAATATCCCGCCTATCTAGTTGACTCAGGACCACTCTAGGCGGCTAACAAGCAGAGAATAACAAAAGTAAACATATATAAAACAGCATAAATAATAAAAACCTTACGAAGATAGAAAACCAGTGGAGGGGAGAAGAAAAGGAACGTCAGGAATTGTCTGGTGGGAAGGCCTGCCGGAACATCCATGTCTTTAACTGATTCTTGTACTTTAATAATTTCTTGTCCATTAGGTATTGAGGGATGGATAACAAAAAGGTATATTACATTCTGTTGGCAACAGGGAGTTGCATCTTCTTACCTCTAAGGACAGGTGGTTGGAAAGACAACCTGGAATATATTAAGCTAAAGAGGAAAATGGTTTCTCAGGACAGGGAAAAGAATGTCCAGTTATACAAAGTGTGCACAGCAGACAAAGCTTCTTGAGAAAGCCTGTAGTCCCACTCTTGGATATGTTCAAGATTTGTTTCAAAGTAATACAGGTTAAGGAGTCAGCTCCCCACCCACTCACTTGTGAAAGCAAATGGTTTTTATGTAAATCTGTACAGCCGTGTGTGTGTGTGTGTGTGTGTGTGTGTGTGTGTGTGTGTGTGTGTGTGTGTGTGTGTGTGTGTGTGTGTGTGTGTGTGTGTGTGTGTGTGTGTGTATGTCTAAAATCAGATATATTAGCCGTACATCTTATGTCTCAGATGCATTATTAATAGCACTTTGGAGCAAACTGACAGGTTGAAATTAAGCACATTAAACCCTTCTAGTTAAATAGAGAAGCAGATAATACCTGCTCAGTTAATGTAAATTGGGCTGCTGATAAAAGACAAATCAGATCCATTTAAATTGTGTGAGAGAAAGGCATCCTAATGACACCAAGGCCAGAATCAGCTGAAATACTGCTGTGTACAATGTTAATTGTGCATGTGGTTTGCATAGTTTGGCAGGATGTTCACCATATGACCCACTGCACAGCCAATGCATGACCAATCACACTACAGACATCCCACCAAGCCCTTTGAGCACCCATTGCAAATGGTCCAGTCAGACAGTATTTGAAGGGTAGTTAGGACAGCAAATTTAATTTGTTGTTGTATTTCTACTTCTAGAGGTAGAGAGAACTGATCTGTGATTTATTTATTTATTT